CTATAGCTTTTCTTTTGGATGGCAGTTTCTCAGATACTTACAAATTAATGAAAATGTATAATTAATAAATGAAATGTTAACTTATTTAAAATTTGTATATTAACTTGCACATGTACGTATTCAGAAAAGAACACAAAATTTATAATGACACAGTTCAATGAATATTCGCAAGTTATATATCCCATGAAGCTACCACTTTAATCAAGAAATATAATATTTGGGCTTCCCTGGTGGCACAAGGGGTTAAACACCACACTATGAAGCAATCTGCAGCCTCTGCAGCATGAGTTCCATCCCCAGCCAGCCAGGGAAAAACCCACATGGTGCGGCAGACCTCAACTGACTTGCCCGCTGTTCCCCTCAGCAGTGTATTTGTTAGTTTGTTCTGTTCCCCACTCTGTCTCTGGTGAATCCTCTCATCTCTGGCCTGTACCTTACATCTCTGGTCTGTACCCCAGCTCTTGTATGCATAAATAAATAAATCTTTAAAAAAAAAGAAATATAGTATTTGTAGCACTCTGGATGTCAGTCCAATCTCACCAATCTCAATGCAGTCACTGTTACCTCCTTTTCAAGAAACTACTACATGAAATCTAAAATCATAGATGAGTTTTTCCAGTTTGGGAATGTATTTCTGTCAAATCACAGAACTTTTCGTCTTCCAAAACATGCATATAATATTTATTCATGATTTTGCACATAGCAAATGGTACACTTCCATTGGTGTGTAGTATTTCACTGCGTGGATATAGTAAAGTGTATCTTTCATTTTGGCAGCCATTTAAGTCCATGATAGATCATAATAAATCTGGAGTTGAAATGAAGAGAAGCTAGTCTTCAGTCTGTAAGTTGTGTTTTGCCTTACTTACTTGAGTGCAGTCTTTCGTAGTTTCAATTCATCCTTTTTTATTAGACTTCCCTCCATCTTATGTCGTGCTTAATTCTAGTTTTTGTTTTCAAAACACTGTGAGATTGCTGAGAGATATGCTTAGCTTATAAACATTTTAGTTGGAGCCTAATTGCCAATTTATGTGGGAGGGAATGTTGAAGGAAATGTCAAGCTCCCCTCTGGTATTTCTCACTGGGGTCTTGGACTTAGATTTTCTGGGATCTTGGACTTAGATCTTCTGTGATGAGGGCTAAATAAGAAAATGAAGGGGAAAGTCTTTATATATTAAAGAGCTATTAAATTTTTTATTCATTTTGCTCTTCTATTTTCATTTCTAATTAGACAATATTTAAACATCCGCCCAAATCATGAAATATATTTTATTATGAAACATTCCAAAGTGTTAAGCTGCAAATTTTATGGGAACAAAATTCTCTGTGGTCAGGATGTTGGTCTTTATTTCTTAGTATTAAGATCATAAATTAAGTCCTATGTTTAGCCAGTCCTTGGATACTGTATTCAAACAAGGTTGATGTATACGCCTTTTCTCATTCCCTCCAGATGCATCAAGTAAATAATGTCTTCACTGTTATTTCCCCAGTTTTAATTTATAGGCTGATATTCAACAATACAATAAACAGCACAAGTGTCCCACCCTGGTAATTCAGTTTACAAACTTTTTTGGTGTACATGTTCAATGAATGTTTTGGAACATCTACTTTCTTTAAGTTACTGTGCTCCTGAAAGGTATAGAAGATAGAGCTCCTTCCTTTAAGATGTTGAATAAACTGAAATTCCTATCAATAGACGCATTAAAAAATGTCAGCTGTAAGATTCACATATTGTAAGCTGAATCTTAGAACTCGTTCTATATTATGTGTCTCCCTCATTTGCTACCTCCAATCAATTAGCAAGTCTAACGATTTTATGAATTATTTCTCAGAATGTGTACCTTCTTAAATGCCTTTAGAATTAACATATCTGAATAGACAATTCACCAAAGAAGATATCCAAATGCCAATATCATGAAAAAATATTATCACTTTTAACAAGGAAGATGCATGTCAAAACCACAATGAGTATCATATCACACATCTCACATGTGAGAATGGCACATATTATAAAGTCTCCAAGTAACAAATGCTGAAGAGTATGTAGAGAAAGACCAACCCTATTACAATTTTGGGTGAGAATGTAAACTGGCTCAGTCAATATGGAAAGTGATCTGGATTTACATTAAAAATAATAGCAGTGGAACTTCTGTGTGACCCAGCATCTATCCAGTGAATGTGAAACCATCAACTCAAAAAGCTATAAGTTCTGCAATGTTCATTGCAGCACTGTTTGTAAGAGCTAGGATATGGAAGCAACTTACATGCTCATTGATAGAAGATTGGATCCAGAAGATATGGTAGCCAAACTATGGAATACTAGCCAAACATAAGGAAAGACAAAATGCTGCCAAGTAGAGCCAGAATTAACTTGTATAGTAAAACAAGTTAGAATGATATAGAAAAATATTGGATATTTACATAGAAGATGATTCAATAAAGTACTTATAAAAATGATCATACAAAGATAAATGAAATAAGATTTCTGAGGAAAGGAGAGAGGGAGCGGGAGAAAGTGCCAAGGAGATATAAGGGATGACAGTAGGGAAAAAAAATCTAAAAACTCTACTGTAAATTAAAAAGAAAAAAAAATGTTTCATAGCTTTAAAAAAATGTCTTTATCATTTCCCCTCCATACCTTGACCCTGGCATATCTCACATGTCTTATATCAATCAAGTACTGTTACTCTTCATATTATATTCAAGTCATAAAGAACAGGCTGTTGTTCTACATGCATATTACAATTTTTACACATACCTGCCACTTTGCTTATATGATTTTTTTCATCAGAATACCCACTGCATTATTTCTTTTACAGCCAGTATTTGACTTTCTCAACCCTCCAAATGATGTGCTTCTAAACTCTACTGGAATGCAATAGACCAACCCCAGTTCTAATGTTCATCATTTGTATAAACTGTATCTGTAGACTTATCTCTATCATTAGATTTACTGCAGAAATATCTTATTAGTGAGTATGGTATCAGTTCATAACTGGGATACCCCGAAATGTATTTTAGCATAAACTCAAATTTAGCATGACTTGACTAACTTATTTTGCAATATTAGTTGTATAATCATTAAACAAAATTAATTTCCACTCAATAGACTGAAATAATTTTCAACAAGAGTAGCTGCCACAAAGTGACATACCACCAAAATGTGAGAGATAGTAATTGTCACCCTAAAACTCTATTGCCAGTAAACTGTTTTTAAAGTATAGGGGAAATAAATATGCTCTTGAAAATAAATAAAAAATATCACTGCTAACTCCAAGAAACCTTTAGTGAAAGACATGTCAAAGAGTATGTTTTATTAAAGAATTTTATTTACAGAAAGTACTAATGCTAACATTAACTTGTAAATAAAGAAGGTGAATAATTTGAAATTATCGAATAAAGAATGTAAATAATTTTAAGCAGCATCATCTGTATAAAATGCAAAGCTAATGATAATTATTAGCTAGGGGGTGAAAACTAAAGAATAACTAAAATACTTGAAAACAACATGTGAGGAGGTAAGGGATGGGATACTGAAAAGAGTTAAACCATCTCAGGATGCTTACATTGCTTGATGGTGGAGAGATTAATTATGATGATTTTTTTTTTAATTTTAATGGGCAACAATACAGGACCAGTAAAATAAATACAAAATTATTAAGAAAGTGTAACTGACTTAAAAGAATATAGAAAACAAACAAAAAACATAGGCATAGAAAGGTAACTATACACCTTATAACCTGACGCTATGAAACTCCCAAATGTATTAGTAAATAGTAAATTCAGCAGTTAAATATTGTAGATTTTTATTTATTTTTATTTTTTTGTTTTTTTAACATTTATTTATTTATGCATACAAGAGCTGGTGCACAGACCAGAGATGCAGGGGGTGAGAGGATTCACCAGAGAGTGGGGAACAAAACAGGCAGATTGACCAAAGTACACTGCTGAGGGGAGCAGTGGGTGAGTCAGGAGAGAGAGGTCTGCTGCACCATGTGGGTTGCTTGCTGGCCAGCCAGGGATTGAACTCGTCCTGCAGAGGCTACCGATTGCTTCATAGTGTGGTGCTTAACCCCTTGCACCATCAGGGAGGCCCTATTGTAGATTTTTAGACTGGGACAACTGTATATGTGAAAATTTAGTTTGGCATTAACCCAATGAAAAGTACTGGATCAGTGTATATTTAGAATCTCTAACTGATTTGCATTTTTTAACTAAATAACTAAAAATTTGTCCAAAAGAAATAATCAGAAAAGCAAATAAAGAAATGTACATGTACATGTTACACACAAGGTGCTCTAGTCCTTAAAATGCCTTACTATTCAATAGCAAAAAATATCAGGTCCCCAAATCTCTTTATGTAACAAGAACTAAAATGTATAATTTTTTTTTACTCTTTTCTTTTTCTTTTATTAGAGCAGAGAAAAAAATAAAAATAAGTTGTCAAAATATGAACAACTCAATTCTTGATGCTGGGCCATTGGGTGATCAACATTCTTTCCTTGATTTACTTCTTTGGTATTCATTTCCATGAATATGTATCATTTTTGTAATCAGAGAAGTATTTTCCTGAAGGCAAATTCATAGTGCACTTCAAACATATTTCAAAAGTGGTTAATTTGATTGAGACTAACATTGTCAAGAGAACTTACATTTGCACATTTTTTTACAAGTGTGTGTATGTGTGTGCGTGCGCACCTGCATGTGTTACCTAATATGAATTTTACAAGAAGTTTGAGGTAATTCTTACCATCAAACCCTTTTTCACATATAAGGAGGCCGAGGTCAGAGAGATCCACAATATGTTAGCTTGTAAAGTTTTGGTATTTGTTCAATAGATTATGTTCTCTTTGTGCCAATTTCTCAAAAGAGGTATATATTTTCTAAAATATATTTTCTAAATTTGTAGATATATTTTCTTAATTTGCAGATCAGTTTTTATAAAGTTGCTGAGCAGCACCAAGGCCAAGCAGCTGTCCACATGTGATTCCTTACCAAGTTGTTACCACAGAGATAAACACCTCTCTTGAATGAGGAACATTCTCATAATTTTGACACTGCAATTTCTTGGCAGTTTCCCAATCCTATTAGGAAACATTCCTCAGAATCACACAAGGAAGGTTTGAGGTTTTTATTTCGTTTTCAATATATAAAGAGAAGTTGGGGAAGATAAAACTGGACAGCCCTGGACATCTTTCTGCTTCATGGGCTGTCTCAGCTGTCTGCAGTAGCCAGCATGCCTTTGCTCCTGTTCTCTGTCCTCTGGCTCATTGTTCAAACTCAAGGTAAGCTCTAATATATAGATGTTTTATAAAATAGTGAAATTATTTTATGAATTTTTAAAGTATGAGAAAATGACATGGTCATCTGACTTGAAGGTTACTGTTATTTATATCTTGGAATATCTACTCAGTTTTGAGGAGCTCTGTGTTAATAGTCCAGGCATTATCATTAGCACAAAAACTTAGGTCTCTGAAATTTTATCTCCCACATCATATCAACTCACAACTCATATCATTGAATAATCCTATCAGTTATATCATTTTATTTCCTAAAACGTATTTCACATGATACCAGAGAGCTGATTCCAGATCAGAAATTCCTTACCAGTTCCAAAGTTATCTTGAATGATACTAGTATTTTCTATTCTAAATGGAGACAGTCATTCATCTAAAGACACAATTTAGCCAAAGGTTTTGTAAGTGAAACAGGAAAGATTCATCACTAAAATTGGAGTCAACTTAGACAAAATTGCATTGTTAGACAAAATAAAATATTAAACAATTAAAGTTAATCCTAGACTTGAAATTAGAATTAAAATTAACTCCAATTTCAATTATATGTCACCTTCTACTAATGTAATTTATATTCTCTTTTTTTTAAGAATTTTTAGTAATACATTTATACATTTCCTGTTTTCACATGAATCCTTCATAGGCCAGCATCACAACAGAATTGTGCAGGTAGGAGAGAATTCTTGCTTTACCATTTCCCTTCAGTTTTTCCAAATCAACCAGATATAGAATCTCTTGGTGTCCCTAAATCCTCCCTGACTGTCAGTCACACTGAGAAGACAACCACCTCTCAACACAGACACTTAACTGTGAAAATGGTATCACTTAGAAATAAAATTGTCTATGTAGGTGAGGGAACAATATTTAAAGAATAGAAATACAAAAGGGAAAGAATGTCATTTTATTACATATTTTATGTTATTCAATTTTTGTCCAGTTTTCTTTTAGGGAAGTACACTGATAAGCAAGATCATTTGCAAGGACTTTTACAAGGTCACTTAGCTAGGACTTAATATCACATCTTTTGGTCTCAATGTCCGTTCATTTGCTACTACATGCAAGCGAAATAGAAAGTGATATATATATAACATTATACCAAGTGCATGAAGAGGGACATTTAGCCTATACACAATCTTGGTTTTAAAACTGCTACAACAGAATGCAGCAAAGGCTTTATTTATTGTGATATCTAAAGTCTTAAGAAAGAAATGATCTGGAGAACATGAACTTAATGTTTTATTGTCACACTGAGAAATAAAGTAATGATTAGAGGTATCTATCCTACAAATTAAATATTATCTATTTGTATATGAAATATTTACATTTTGAATGAGTAGTCACCAGCTTCACCAAAAAAGGAAGAGTATATGAAAAGTAAAAACAGAAGTCCCTGAGGACATTGAGAGAAAAATTCCAATATTGAAGAAGATTACAGAGTAAGAGGAATGGCTTGCTGCAGGCAGAATCCCTGGTTCCCATAACCTCTGTTATAATCCATGCTTCCCATTCAGGGCATGGTGGCCAGAGTTTACATATATTGGGGATCCCTCCAAAAATTGTTTCACCATTGTTACATCTTTCAGAAAGGAGGAAGAGACCTAAATAAAAATTATTTGTTATAGAAGCTAAAGTAGAAGATTTAACTTGTTCTCCTTAAAGCTTACTCTCAACAGGAATTCAGCCTTCTGCACCAATTCAACAAACCCACTTAACCAAAATAATAACCTTTAATTAACTTATATAAACATTATTTCACTGTCACTAGTTGTAGCCATAAAGGAAGGCCCTGAATGGGAGCACTATGAAGTCGTTCATCCTAAAAGACTGCATATTTTGCACAAAAGAGATATACAAAACAACCAAACAGAAAATCATGGAAAAGAGGTAAGCAATGTGAATGATTGTGGTAGATTTTACATCTTCCAAAGAGACACAGTTTTTCACTAATATAGAAGACGTCACAATCTATATATCTAGTAGTTTCATCTTGAAGCCCTGCTAGGTTCAGGAGAACGTAGATTTCTTGGAAAGTCTTGAAAGTCATCAGAAGGTAAGAGAGTAAATGGTCTCACTTGATCAGAAAGAACAAAGCAGATTGAATATTTCTTCAAGTTTCCAGGTGGGAGAGAGAAAATGCATAGGTTGGGCAGCCATTTCTAGAAGGAGTGCTCCTTGACAAACTCACCAAACCATGTCTTACCCCTACCTTACTCCATCATGCCCCCAATGAGTTGTCTTTTTCTTGGCCATTCTGTCTATAATGTAGAAACTCAATATTATTATAAACATGACTTTTTTAAAGGACATAGATATTAAATCTTTGACTATAATAGTATTTCCATCACTTAATAATTTCAACCTTATTTAATTCTTAGAAGGTTTTGGGCTGGTTTGCTTTAGTATATTTGGTTGATTTTTTAAGTAGGAAAATATGTATCTTCTTATTATCCCATTAGTGATTCACTGGGTAACAGAGCATGGTATATTAAAGAAAATGCTGTGTCCCTGTCACACATATTAGAGTTAGTTTAGACTGTGTTATTTCTGTATTATTGAAATTTGTGGACAATTTAATATAAAATTAATGTTTGATTTTAAAGGCATGAGAATAATTTTATCTATGTGCATAATTATTCTTATACATAAGCTATACTTATCATTGTAATTGTTTTAGATAGACTCATAAATTGATTTCATTATGTTATTCAATATTTTTAGGAAAGATATGATTCTGAACTTCAGTATCAGATTACATTAAGTGGAGAAGAAGTCATTCTTCACCTACAAAAAACCAAGTAAGTTGTACTTCGTGAAACTCCAAGCACTGGAATATTTGAAGAATATGTACAAAAATAAATGCTTTTGAGGCTCTAGTTAGTGATATTTGAGATATAAGACATGAAACATATTGGGTTTAGATGTTATTAGTCTGTGTTGACATTCTCTAAGAAGATTGATGCTCCCTAGGAAATTATGTACAAATTGTAAAACAAAGAGAAAGGCAAATATCATACATGATTTTCTTCATGTCTCTTGGAATTTACTGAAGATCTTTTCTACTCAGATAAACTCAAACCTTCAAACCTTCGACATGTTTTTCCTATTGTGTTGTGAGAACACATTTCCAAGGCTCATTCAGCCTAGAGTCAGATCCCAGGGAGGGGATTTCCCCCCAGTTCTACCTAAGTCAATGAACTGCTCCCTGAATGCAACAGTCGTTAATGCATATTTATCACCCAGTACCCTTGAGAGATTGTGTGAAGACTGTATCCTTGGCATACAGACTCCCAAAATAACCCCTTCGAAGATAATCTGCCACTGGAAAATCACTGAGGGCATTTTGTGTCTTAGTCCAATAAGTGTAGTTAATGCTTTGATTTGTTTCAGCTGCAGAGATCCAGACTGAGAAACAATCAGCTACACAGAATGTCCTGTTTCTCACTGTTGAGTGTGGCATTTGTTTAGTCCTGATGAACATGTCAGCAATATTCACTCTTATTGCCATTGTGAGTTTATCATGCAACTCTGTCTTCTTTACAGGAATCTCCTGGGTCCAGACTACACTGAAACATATTTCTCACCTAGTGGAGAGAAAATAACTACAAGGCCTAAGGACATGGTAGGTCCAGAATGCTTTCTGTGATACTTTGGGATTTGCCATTTGCATTATAAGATGTAGAGGCCCAGAGAAAACTAAACAAAAAAGTTCAACGACTTGAAAGCAAGGTGCTTCTTATCTATGACTGTGGAGATAGTAGATGAAAATGTCACCATGTCAGAAACACCCCTCAGTCTTGCAGTGTGGGGGGGACTTCAGGGTCAGTGGTAGATCAGTTCCTAAAACTTCTGAGGTTCACACTATTTTTGTTTCTGGAAACTGGTCTGACCTCAGCCACTACTTGAAAAATGCTCTGTTATATTCAAGATAAAAGCTCTCACAGAAACAGAGCTATACAGAAACTATAGCAGGGCTCTAGCTGGCCAAAGAGCGGTCTCTCTTCTGAGGCCAGGAACTGGAGTCAGGGTCTCCAGGCTGGCTTCTGCCCCACCTTATCTCCTTTCTCAGAGTCCCCTACTTACAAGTCTGATTGGACCATTTTCAGTCCTATGGCTGATTGGACCATTAACCCATCAACTCATAGACCGTTTACTCATAGCTCGCACCTCATCTGTCCATTCCCACCCACCAGGCACCAAATCCATGGGCCTCTCTGCTGCCTGCAGCAGGAGGGAGCCATAGCATTGGAGCCAGCCCAGTGGGGCCCATGCTTCTCCCTGCAGCCCTGAGCCAGGGACTAGCTGTTGCCTCCTCTGCCAGAGCTTGCTCCAGCACAAGGCAACCTTGCCTCTGCAGCCACAGTGGGGCCACCAACGAAGGGCAGTAAAATACCCACTAGCTGCTGTCTCTTGCACTGCCCACAGCTTCTGGAACCAGGCACCTGAGCCATGAGGAAGGAGGTCTCCAGTTTCTTCACCACAAATATTACACATGTATCCTTGTAGTTAAATTTTTTTTCTAACCATAATTTCTCTTTTCCAACCTTAGGAACATTGCTTCTATGAAGGACACATCCTAAATGAGAAGGATTCTGTTGCTAGCATTAATACTTGTGATGGTTTGAGGTGAGAGCCACTCACAAAAATAATACACATTCAAATACCACTTTGTTACACACCATTGAGTCTTCTTGGATGCATGTCTTCTTACTACCCCGTCAAACTTTATCACTAAAATACTGAATATATACAGTCAAAGGGAAGAATAAAGTTTCACTTGTTATGGTCATTTCATAACCTGTTGGCCTAATAGAAGTTAGTCCAAAAAATGTTTGAATAAGGTACTGCACTATGGACTTTGGTGACATCTGGATCCATTTCCATATTTATCTACATCACTCCCTCAAAACCACTCTGTTTTATATTCTTAAATATTCTACCCTGCAATTATGCCAGTTGAACATAATTTTTTGAAGTATATATGTGTGATTCTGTTACAATGTGAATTCTTGGCATTTAGGGAAAATTTCAAAAGATGAAATAAAAAACATAACGACCATAGAATGTGACCTTTGAGTGATCACTACTATTAGAATTTTATCCTATTTTTAGTCTTTTATCCACACAGACTAACATCTTTTATAGGGTTGACACATGAAAGAAGATATTCTACCAATTTGGTTCATACCACATGATATCATAAGCTTTTTTCCACATCCTAAATACCTTCATGATGTAATTTTTAATTGATATGTTGATTTGTAATATTACACCATATGGATTCACATTATATTTCTGAACTAATTTACTTAGAAGAGAGATTCTTTAAGATACTGCTAATTCCAACCTGTTCTCTGATCTGCTCATCACTTGATCTCACCCCTGGAGTTCATGGCATCTAATCCTGTACTCTGTTCTCCATTATCTTCCTAGGACCTGTAAAGCAATATTTCTTAAAAGAATAAACTATGGGAAAATATTTATTGAGCTCCTGATTTAAATTCCCAAATATTTGGAATAGCTTCTCCTAACAATTCTTGTCCATAATTCTGTAAATAAATAATAGAGGCTTTGTTTTAATACAGCAAATACTGATTATTACTTAAGTGAAGAGAAATTAACTAAAGGGCCTATGAATGAAAACTGTTCTCATGAGTTTAGGACTGAGTTTACTACTCACCGCTCTGGTCAGTAGAAACGACTGCATGGCAGAGAATTCTTCAACATGAGTCTCTGGTCTTGCAGGGGGTACTTCACACATCATGATCAAAGATACACGATAAGGCCTCTGAAAAGCTCTGACAAAGAAGAGCATGCTGTTTTCACGCAAAGCCAGGAAGAAATTGACCTAGCAAATTACACCTGTGGTGTGAGAACTTTGGGCAGGAAAAAAGGGCTTATTCGAAACTCAAGGTCACCCAGTGGTCCAGAGGTAAGTGTAGTTTTCAGAAGTTGTCCTGGGTTTCACTAGTCTCCACAATGAAAGAAGATATGCCAGTGTGCCCAGCAATGGCTGGCTTGTGTTAAGCCTGTAATTTATTGACTGTGATTTTGTTAAGCCTGTAATTATATATATATATATATATATATATATATACACACACAAAACTATTATTCAACTTCATTTCCCTGCAAGAAGAAAAGGAATCTCTTTGTAAATTTTGAATGTTTTAAGATAAAGGTGATTACTAACTGTTCTTCACTCTTTGTGAAGCAAGAAGAATTTCTTCGGGCTGACAAATATATTGATCTCTTTTTGGTGCTGGACAATGCCTTTGTGAGTATGAAACATCCTTCTTGGCTAGTTCATTCAACTTTTAAGTTTTCTTATCAAGAAAACACAGACAATAAACTGTTATTGAAGAAAGTACAGTGTCCACCTGATTATCTGATTGTCTTATCTATTCTGCCATCTTGCCAGGAATAGTTTTCACTCATTGTTTGCCTTTAATTTCCATCTGCTGCCATAATGTCCAGATATTGACAATCTGATTAATATCTATGTGGAATCATAATGATGAAAAACAAAAAATAATGAGTTAATAAAAATATTTTAAAATTCTATATTACAGCAATATAAAGTAGATAAAAACTATATATACTTTATAAATTCTATTTTATATATACAAAAATACCAGAACCTGTGCTTCCAGCCAGTAAATATGCTTTATAATCAAGTATTAATAATGAATTGATTGTAATACATTGAAATTACTTTAATTTATTCAACCTAAAAATGACTAACTTTTAAAGTTTATGTGTGCCTAATTTCCCTGTGGCCAAAACTTATATTTGAAATGGAATTTGTTGAGACAAGTACTCTTATATAAGGTAGGTTAGGAATGAATATGCTTATTTACATTGAAACCTATAAGTCTCTTAAAATGTGAAATTCTGTAACCCATCAACTTTCTTTAATTTACAACATTAATTACACTTTGTACTTGATATTTTGTAGTATAACGCACATAATGGAAATCTAACTGTGATAAGAAGCTTTGTGTTTGATGTGATGAACCTACTCAATGTGGTAAGTTATATAAACATATGATATATATATATATATACACACACACACACATAACTTACGTAAACATACATGCTATATAAACATGTTTCCACATGGAGTGGAGGCTTCTCTGTTGTTTCACCAAATAAGGGCTTGGGAGGGTAACAAAGGTCAGCATTTGGGGGAAATTTAACAGGGAAGGCTCAACAAAGTAAAATAATAATATATACTGCAAATAATAATATATACTACAGTAAAGGCAATTTCTAGTTTCTAGTTTAAAAATAGCATACATTCTCCATCATTTATGGTTAGCAAAATATCTAAAACAATAAAGAAAACTTCAACATATTAATGAATAAACAATACTCTTTCCACAGATTTATAAAACGATAAATGTTCAAGTGGTCTTGGTAGGCTTGGAAATATGGTCTGATGGTGACAAGATAAAGGTGGTACCTGAAACAGGTGTCACTTTTACCAACTTTCTGATTTGGCATCGTTCTAAGACACAGAAAAAGATGATCCATGACCATGCTCAGTTACTCAGGTGAGGATGCGGTGGTGGCCAGGCCAGGTGTTTGTGGGCAGTGGATAGTTATCCCAAAGATTTTTTGACAAGGATTTCTATCCAATTAGTAGAAGCTTTTCTGGAGCTTAGTGGAAAGAAAAAGACTAGGACAACAAGGGAAATTGAAAAAATATTAATAAAATTAATGGTTCCAAAAACTTGGAATATGACCATTATACGAAACTTTCACACAGTGGAATTAAATTCAATGCTCGGCGTGTGGGAATGGCATCCTCGAATTCTTTGTGTTCCTCATCTTCAGTTGTCGTCGTTGGGGTATGTAAACTTACATTACTTTGTTATTCTATGCCTTCCATGAAGACTTGAACAATGTCTCATATGGAGTTAGTCAATAAAGAGAATTCAACCTACTGATACATCTATGCTCTGAAGGGTCCTTGGCTTATGAAATAGAATATCTCCATGTACTCTTTAGTTTGTGTTAAGGAGTAAGAGCAGGAAGATTGGGACAGAAAGGGAACCCAAGTGCCCTCTGTGGCCTGTGTCAACATTAGATCGACCATCCCAGTATTGATGGCCAGAGAACTCGGACAAGTTACATATTGTTGTCATATGGACAAGCACAACCAATGTCATAAGCACCGTGACAATAACTTTTGGAGATATTGAGTATGCAGTATGGGTGCCTTTGAGTACTCACTATGAAAAATGTAATTGACTTATTCTAACCATGTTTTTCTAAGACCTTACCATTAATTCAACAAACATTGAATGCTGACTCAATAGTTGCATTCACAGGAGCACCCATTTCAAAGGTTTGTTCAACATTATACAAGTAGTCATGACAGGTAAGGAGTCTAATAACTCATTATTTTTCATCTGTGATACCTATTTTAAGTAGTCAACCTTGGCAGCAATTAAGAAATAACTGAAGTAAGTAATAGGTGTTTCTCCTATTTTTTGGCAGGCTAAGGATATGAACAGTGTGGCTCTTGTAGGAGTGATGTCCCATGAGTTGGGCCATGTCCTTGGCATGGCTGATGTTCCATATTATACCAAGTGTCCCTCTGGGAGTTGTGTGATGAACCAGTATCTGAGGTGAGACCTTGTCACCTAGGGGAATAATTTCTCAACTCTTAAGGACTTTAGATGGTCATATAGTTGGAAGGGCATGTTCAAAGGCAGTGTATTTCTTACTTCATCCTCCAGTCTTTTGCTGCACAGGATTCCTCAATATCAGGGCTCATTTGTTAAGATTTCTAAATATGCCAAGATAGAACATAAGAGTGGTGATGATGCCATCTGAATTTAAAATAATTCTTTTACAATTATTTTAAGTGTATTCAGAAAAAGTTTCTTTAAATCTGTATATCTAATTGTGTTCTATATATTTCCACCACCAATTGATCAATCAATTTTATGTAATTATTTAGTACTTCCTAATACCAGCACTTGGCAAGGACTTGGGGTGGAAAAATGAATAAAAACATCCATTGCTCTTAAGTGTTCGTGGAGAGATATGTTCATAGAACTCTAACTCTGAAATCATTTCCTTTCACTACTTCATTGCTGTTTCTCTTCTCAGTCCTTTATGTTGAGATGAGTGAATTATAAGTGGTGAATCTCCTCACTCTGCCATTTAGGAGAATACTTAATCCACAGGGGCATTGAAATCTTCCAGCTCTACAACTGGGTATCTTGGAAAACAGCTTGCCAACAAGCATAGTATGTACACTCCATTGCCCTCCACCTCCACCACACTGCAATGCTGAACAAATAATAAATTTGGAATATCAATTAAGCCACGAATATATTTAAACACATCAAATTGTTATATGCACTTATCATTGTATATCATGGCATTTCTGATTTTTCTTCTGGTTGCAGTTCAAAATTCCCAAAGGATTTCAGTACAATCAGCCTCTCACTTTTTGAAAAATACGTGTTATCTAGAAGACCAAAGTGCTTGCTGCAAGCACCAATTCCTAAAAATATATTAACAAATCCAGTGTGTGGGAACAAACTTCTGGAACTAGGAGAAGACTGTGATTGTGGGTCTCCAAAGGTATGAAAACATCCAATGTTAAAAAAAAAATAGTAGAAAGTTAATGTGGCAAAGAGTTGTGCAGTTATCTTTTCCTTTAAAAAAAATATTCTTTTGGAAATACTTTCTAAGGACAGATTTGGTATCATAGTAAAAATTAGATTTGTGTTCGTGTTTATGGTATTGATTTTATTCATCTTTCAATGGACATTTCAAACACAGGATACACTTATAACATGACCATATGGATATCAATGTAAGAGGTAAATCATTAACTAGATCATGTTACTTATGATCATTCCCAGATATATTAGTCAGTAATATATAAATCACATTGATTTGATTGAACCACAATTGATCATTTGTTGAGCAGTAATAAGTGCAGATTCAGAAATAAGTTTTCTCCATAGAATTGGCCTTTTCTCATTAAACTAGTTGTAAACAGATGGTAAGTAGAACAGAGGAGAAAGAAAGAAAAAAATCATATAAATTATATAAAATAGATTATTTACATAGAATGTCTAATATCATTATTACAATTCTGCTACCTTTTAAGGCATCAGTACTCTAAAATTGTCTCTGGTAGACTGTTTGCTAACAATCCCATATTAGGTTTCTGAGAAAAGAGCATTTTGTTTTTTTAACAATCTTTTAATTTTAAAACTAAAAATTATAGTTAATATTTGAAGAGATTTTCTATGTGTCTGGCAATCTACAATATGCTCTTATATAGTGTCTCTTTTATTTTTCGCAGCAAACTTCCAAAATAGGTGTTGTTATTATCCTAATTTAGAGAGAAATGAAACTCAAAAAAGTTAAGTAACTAGTTACAGGATACAAATATAGTCATTGGTGAAGTCTGTTGCAAACCAAGTTACTTGTAGTGTAAGGGACTCAATGACATGGGAAGGTGCATAGTCAGTCTATGCTACAGTATATTCAGAAATTTTAAGCAGTTACATTGTATTAGAATATTGCATGTTGTAAATCATTTGTAAGAAATACTTCAAATATCCTGTTTATTATAGTTGAGATGGAATTTTATAAATGATTTGATACTTTATAATAAGTTAGGCAAATTTATCCCCATATGCTTTCTTGGGTGGAAGAAAATTGAAGTTGTTCATATCCTAGCTAGGTATTTATAATTTCATCAGGTAGATGTTTTCTTTCAGTGTGCATTGAGAGAGAGAGAGCGAACTACTATTTATGTAATAATTTATGTCTTAATTATTCAGTCAGCCCCACTGTTGTTTCTGGACTAGTCAATTTTCTCCTTGTGCAGTGGCATAAAACAAGAGTTCAGGCACAAATTTTCATTGCATAAAATAATGAAAATCTGGTTTATACTTTTCAATTATCACACTTTCAGGTCTTTGTTGCAAAGCATTTGTCAGAATTTTCATAAAAATAGAAACTATAAATAATCCTTATTTTTTGTTTTATTGGATATATTTTTGTTAACCATCAGATAGATTTTCCTTATCACAATGATGTATAATTCTGTTCATAGTTTACTTATATATGCTTAAATAATTTAAAAAGGGCTACTGAATTTTCACCAATTAATTTTTGCCATCTATCACAATAATATTAGTTGTTTTTTCTGCTCAGTCTCTGGATGTGATGGATGACATTACTTTATTCTAAACAGTCGTTCTACCCTTGCATTTTTGCTATTAAAAAAATGTATAATCATAAAAGAGAATTATTACATTAATAAACTAATTTTACTAATATTTTGTTCAAGTTTTAGCATTCATTTTAATAAATGACATTATGAGTTCTCATTGTTAGCATTATACAGGCTTAGTAAAATGAATTGGGGATATAATTTTTTGCTCTGTTGTCAATGGTTTGAATAGTATGGCAATATTCTCCCTTATAATTTTAAACTAAATATATACAATACCATATAGACCAGAGTTATTTGGGATAATTCTTAATCTATTTTTGTCCTTTTAAGAGTAGATTTTCGTTATTCTTAACTTATTTTTCCCTATTATTAAGTTTTCTTGGTAATTTCCAATGGGATTTGTAGAGCAGAAAAATTTAGATTCAAAAATGAAATTTCACTGCTATAATGTGCCAGAATTTTGTGACCTAGTCTGTAGGAAGAAAATGCTGAACCCATTTTCCCAATATGTGTGTATTTAAAGGAATGCACCAATGTTTGCTGTGAGGCCAGCACCTGTAAATTAAAACCTGGAGCTGACTGTGAAGACACGCAGGCCATATCACGTAAGAACTTTTTTCCCTTTCTTGATCCCAAAATATTTTCTCATTTCTATTTCAGATGAGATAAACATGTCACTGAGTTCAATATAATGTACATTATTTTGCATTTTAAAAATGATTCAGTCTCAGAGAAAAAGTCACCACCATGAATGTAAATAACTCAGGGTTATGTATAGTCTAATAATTTAATGAGAAAAGTGGTTACTTTGTCATCTATGAGATTAGAGCTGCTGAAGTATACTAAAAATTGTATATATTTCTGTAAAGTAGTGAGTTCAACATAAACTTAGATGAGAAAGTTTATTAAAATAAAGCCGTGATTGATGAACAAATTTTATTCTTGGTTAAGAGCTGAGGGATGTCATTTGCAAGTAGTCAGAAAATCCCTAACATTTAAGAACATACTGCACAATTTGACTCTTGTATTGTTTTTAAAGCCATAACCCACATACTTACAATGTGACATGAGTTGGGCTAGGGAAAGCCCAATTGCTCTGAATGGGACATTTGTTCAGGTACAAAAATTGTCTCCAAATCTAAAAATGTCAGGGCCTCCCTGATGGTGCAGTAGGTTGAGCACTGTGCTGTGAAGCCTCTGCAGCCTCTGCAGCATGGGTTTGATTCCCAGCCAGCCAGGGAGAAACCCACATGGCGCAGCAGACCTCTCCTGCCTCACCTGCTCCTCCATCTGCCTGTTCTGCTTCCGGCTCTCCCCGGTGAATTCTCTCATCGTCTGGTGCCTCTGACCTGTACCCGAGTTCTTGTATAAATAAATAAAATCTTTAAAAAAAGAATCTAAAAATGTCAAAAAAAAACGAACCCAATAAAATCATAAGTAGGAGACTCAAGATAAATTACATGGATGCAGTTGTTCCTACCTTTTCCTAAATTTTTTCAGACGTGAAACCTGTAGAGAAGTCATAAAGAGAATGATTGAGTCAAACACCATCTACCATCATTTCCTCAGTAAATGACTACCTCGGTCAGAAGACAAGGAGTATCACTCAGTCATTTGCCAAGTAACATTTAACATTCCAGCGTGAACCATGGCTGTAAATCCACCCTTCAGGGAATGATGAAAATTACGCCCATCTTATTCTGTCACCGAGACCAGAGGCACAGTACCTCAATAAATAGCCACTCAACTCTAGAGTCTTGGAAAGTTGGTGCCTATGTCCTACTACTGGATCCAACTGGCTGTTTAGTATCATGGAAAGAAAATTTCCCTTGGATTCAGAAACTTCAATTCTTTTTTAACAGTTTTACCAAGATCTACCTATGGGACTTTAAACAAAGGACTTAATTTCCTTCCTTCCTTCCTTCCTTCCTTCCTTTAGAACTGGGGTACAGGCCAGAAGTGTGGGGGGTGAGAGGATTCACCAGAGACAGAGTGGGGAACAGAACAGGTGGAATGACTGAAATGCACTGCTGAGAGGAGCAGCGGGCAAGTCAGGAGGGGTCTGCTGTGCCATGTGGGTAGCTCCCTGGCCAGGGATGAACTCGTGCTACAGCGGCTGCTGATAGCTTCATACGTTGCATCTTAGCCCTTTGGGCCACCAGGGAGGCCCTTGATTGGTTTTCTTACTTGTAAAAGGGAATAACTGGTGGTGTGTTTCACTATGGTTGCTGAAATAATTCAAATTCTATAAATTTTGGTTAACATAATATATGAAACAATATTTATAACTTGTGATAACATAGCTTCCAATTTTTTCTTTCAATCAGAGAGTCAATCAAAAAATCTACAGCACTGAGGAGCTACCTTGCCAGAACAAGAATCAAGACCTCTTAACACGCCTAAAAGCTTGTATATTTCCACCTTCATACTTAGATATATTTTGCTTTTACTTGATGCTATGCTTTCTATATTTTCACCAGTATTTAGAAAAGTTGCCTGTTTTGTAAGGTCTGATCTTTGATGTATTTTTAAGGGTTATGTTGCTGTTGTTTAGCTCTGCTCTTTGGAGAAAAAAAGGAAATTAGTCTTTGTCCAAAACACCTCAAAAATATACTGCTCAATTGTGTAGACTTAACCCAGAATTATAAAATTACAAGTGACTTGTAGTTTAACTCCTTTAATTTTACTAGTATAGCCCATGAAAAAGATACCATCCCCTAACTAGGGACATTTGGTGGGAGAAAGGAGAGTAGAGCTCATGGGGTCTGTGCTCAGCGTTCTTTGTGCTTCGCTCTTAGACGTGTGCTGTTTTCTACATCCTGTCAAGACTAATCATGCAAATACTCTTCACTTTATGTTGTATAATCTTTTCCACTGTCACCTCTGATGCTGATTTTGAGACGTCTGCATTGCTTACATTTTCATTTAGTTACCAAGGACTGCTTCTTTCTCTTCATTTAAGGAACCATAATTTCAATGAATAAAAACACAATATTTTGAGGCTTTTTGTGTGGTCATTTTCAAAAATGAATACTTTTGAGCTTCACTATAGGTTTGTGGTAGGTGTTAGAGTCTCACACATTTGCACAAATTTCTCTGGTCATTTTGACAGTCTTGCCACAGAAGACCAAGCATCACTATATGGAGAACCACTGGCTGGTAAAACCTACCATACTGAGGGGGTGGGGGTGGGGGATGGGGTGGCATCTAACTCTAAGCAGCTTACTGGCTAGGTCCCAAGCCCTTGTTTAGCTAACATATCCTATTATATAATTATCAATTTCTAAATGATTCCTCATTTGTCATAAATTATCTTTAGAAAAATGGCTTAGGGATTTGGGCAATTTTTAAAGCCTGTATGTAGTGGGCATATTACCAAATAACCAATTTAAATGAATTCTTTATTGAATTTACTAGGGCTCATAGAATTATTCAGAAAAAAATGCTATGATAAAGACTTAAATGCTGTTTTAAGAAATCTCCAAATAGTTGGCATATTGGTAGGCTAAACATCTGTATAGTTTGCATTTGCTGTCTGGCAAAATGCATCCAATCTAATAAAAAGGTTGATTTTTAACTACTATAAATTATTTTTAAGGCATAATTCTGCTTCCCATCAAAACACCTCCATACATCTGTTGAACACTATAAATGTTTCAAAGATTTTTGCATCATTTACCTAGTCTTAATGAAATCAATAAGATATAAGCAAGATTAGTATTATTATTTTTATTTTATAATGGAAAAATCTATGGTTAAAGAGTTTGTTGAGTGGTTTATCTAGGGCTGTGTGGAAAACTTACAGCAGTCATAGAACTCAAACTCAAGTGCCCTTAATCCTAAAGCCAAGCTGTATACAAATAATTGACTTCCATCATTTTATCCTTTGTCGTGATTATACCCTGGCTGGGGATAGAACTTGTGCTACAGTGACTGTGTATAGCTTCATAGTGCTGTGTCTTAACCCCTTGCGCCACCATGCAGGCCTCTCCCTGCCATTTTGGACCCTCCCTTTGGTCGCTCTTCCCTGTCTTGTTCCCACCTCTTAGACCCATTCTTAACTGTGGGCTTCAACTGCAAGCTTGCCCAGTTCTTGATGGTGGCAGAAAGCAGGTCACAAAGCCCATATGTGGGAAGCAGGAACAAGTCTCTCTTATGAGGCACCAGGAGCTACACAGGTAGCAACAGCAGCAGCCCCCCTGAGCTTGGGCTGCACCAGTGGCCCTGTGCTCCATGACTGACCATGAGAAGCCCCCTGGAGGAAACTTATTAGCTTTTATATGATTTATAGACAAAGCCAGCAAAAAAATCAAGTTTAGGCCCAGTCTACAGAAGTATGTTTTGAACAGGTTACACTGTCAATATTATTTACATCCTTCCCCACATGCGGTTGGAAGTTCACATTGAAAAACAACCCAAGAAACTCTGAGGAAACTGTTTTCCCACAGACCCTACACTAACAGCATCACTACTTTTATTTCACTTGCCCCATCTTATCTCATCTTACCTCCCAATCTCCACTCTTCTCCCCATCGCCCCTATAAAAAACACTTAATCTAGAATTGACAGGAGGAACACTCTTAGCAGGCAGCTACTTTTCATGGGGGAGGAGAGTGTCTTGGCGGACTAGAGCCTGCCTTTATGGGTTAACTCATAATAAAGAAAGAAATCAAACCGCTGTTTATTTTAAACCTCAGAGAGGAGCTACCTTGATATACTGGTCCTGAAAATGACATCAAGAGGAGCTAAATGTGACAGGAAGGACTGGAGGTCTTCCTTGATCAGCTGCATCAGACATGGCAACTCTGAGTTCCCTGAACTTGAAGGAAGCAGAGAAAAAGTAGCAGCTGAAAGAACATGGTGTAACATAAACATTGGTGAATGTGTTTGAAATACAGCAAATGTTTGGTTTCATTTTATTTATTTTTTATAAATTCCTAACCGTTCTAAAACAAGATAATGACTTTTATATTGGCATGCTTGTATGAAAAACAAAAATCACTAGTATTGTCTTTTTGTTCCCTAATGCATTGACCCTTTATGCACACCAAGGCGAGGCCTCCAGAAGTTCACTGTCCATCTGAATGTCTCTTTACTATCTCCATTTCAAGTAACTTTTACAAATAGTCTATATTCACTGCCTCATTGTTCCACCACCTACTCCATCCTCGGCTGCTTAAAATCCTGTTTCAGACTCCACTGTGCTGTTAATACTCCTTTCCAAAACCACCAACAGCCCCTCACTGACCAGAAGCTACTGACTTTCCTCTGCTCTTTCTTACTTTTTGCAGCTGAGAACACTGTTAATCTCCTCTCTGTTTGTTTTTTTTTTCTCTTTTCTGTTTTATATTGTATTATGATTTATTGAGGTGAGTTTGGTTTACATTGCTGTATGTGATTGAAAGATACAAGGCCACACCTCTTCAGACGTACTGTTGCCACACCGCCACCAAAACATCCATAATTGAAATCTTTCTTCCTGCAATTCTTTCCCCTTTCCTGCTTTCACGCTAAAATGCAAATTCTCAGCCCTTCATTCCCTCTACAATCCTTCCGAGTGAAAGTATCCACCATTAACTTGACCCCACGAGCCCAGCTGCTCTCCCACGGGCCTGGGGACCTGCTTTATGAGCTGCCCACAGACCACCAGGCTCCTGAGAACCGACTAGGCGTCTCCACCTGCAGACCTGACTTTCATCTCAGCTGCAGCACCTAACACTAGATTTTCCTAGTTTACCCCAAAGAGCGTCCTGTAAGGGAGAAATGAAGATTGAAAAGCAGAGGGTCAGAAAAACTCACAAGAAGAAAGGAGGTAAGGGAGGTGGGAAAGAGAAGAGGACAATTCAGAAAGATTTATTCTTCTCAATGCATGAATCAGGAAACATCCTTTCTAGTTGGATGCCTTTCTCTTCCGGCGGCGAGGGTGGGGGACACAGCGTCATTTTTCATTTTGATGACTTTCCCAACCTTAATTCTTCCTCTCCGCTTCTTCTCATTTATCCATGGAAACCTTATTACCTAAACTCTACCCTGATTTTTCACAGCTTTCTTAACATTTTTGTAACCCTTATACTTGAGAAAATAATCATCTTTCTTTTACCCCTAAAGATGCATGGTCTCACTCACAGCAGGAATCTAGAAAACTTAAATAAAAGACCAGGAAAAAGAATAAATATAAGAAAGTAAAAATCAAAATCAACAAACAACTATGAACCAGAGACACTCTATGGGGGGGTGGGTGTGGGGAGGGGAGGGATTGGGGTTAAAATAAGGGGGTTGCAATTGTATGGGGAATATAAAAATAAAATTTATAATCAAAAAAAAAGATGACTGGGAGGCCTACCCTAGTCCAAATAGATTAAATATCAAAACATCACAATAGTTGAACAATACAACTTTTTAACTTCGCCCATCCCCCAAACTACCACCTCCTAGCGACACCCCAAAATTGGCAGAACTTTTCATCCCTGAAATCACATTAACTTGGATTTTGGTATCTTCAGAGACAAATGATAATAATTAAGATAAACCTGAACAAGGAAAAGAGTCCCCACCCCATCCTGGGGAGTAAAAAGGATAATTTTTCTCTCACTTATAACCACCACAAAATGTAAGGAAGAAATAAAGGGAAAGCATAGGTGATAAGGTTTTCATGGACAGACAGGAATAAGCTGAGAGGGAGAATCAGGTTTGAAAAGTTACTCCTGTTGAATCAAAATAGAACGAGGCAGTGAGGTCACCTTTATACGGGATTTCTTGCATATATCCTCTCTTGGAAAGTTCATGTTATGCGACTTCATTTCAACAGGGTTTCTACCTTAGTACCTGCCCTCACTAACTGAAAGAACGCTGAGGAGAAATTTTGCTTTTGCTCCAAAAGGCGAGAAGCAAAACTAATGTTCAGTATTGGATTTTCTGTAACTGTACTCGAGGCAGTGGGCACCCTGAGCTTTGAGTGTGGTCCAGCAAGTTCCTGCTCCAGGGCTAATTGACCCAGGCTGTGAATTTACAGTCCAAATTTTATTATATGTCATTGCTATTTTGTGTCATTTAGCATAATTTGGTAGGTTATTTTTGGAGTGTGTGGATGCTCAAAATTTTTCAATATATATTAGCGGTAATTTTCTGCACTCTACATCATTTCAGCTCATGGAAGTTTTCATAATGATAGAAAACTGAACGAAAAATTGAAATGGGAAAATGCACAATTTTTCAAATATTCTGAAGACAGCACTGACAGCTCTCCTGAACTGGACTCACTTTCCTTCCACTATCATATTCTGTCAATTCCTAATATAATTATTGTTTTTCTGTTGCAAGCAAATCTTAAATAATGAAAAATAAAAGCTTTTTCCCTTGGGTTGTCCTTGGCAGAGTTAACTAAATGCTTCTCTTCAAAACTAACTTTACTGTTTATTTAATTGTCATTAAAATGTGGCAATAGTATAAAATGCAAATGTAAACGTAGTCATCTTCCCAAAGCACAGCTGTCTGCTCTTTCAACAACCTCCAGTCCCAGCACTGGTACATATGATGTGTCTTACCCAGTTCCATTATTCCTCAGTATTTCTATGTAGAAGATTCTATTTTATTTCCAATCAACCTTTTTTTTTTTCCCAATTTCTGATTTATATTCATCCTAGAAATCCTTTTAATGAGCCATCAGCAAGATCCCTCCCTGTAAGTTTCAAGGGAAGCCACTTATTCTCTGCAAGAGTCTCCCTCCCAAGGAAGTTTTTTTTTTTTCCCAAAGATTTGGGGTGCAGGCCAGAGATGCAAAGGGGTGAGAGGATTCACCTGAGATAGAGTGGGAGCAGAACAGGCAGATCCACTGAAATACACTGCTTAGGGGAGGAGCAGGCGAGACAGGAGAGGTCTGTTGCACCATGTGGGCCACCTCCCTGGCAGGGTATTGAACTTGTGCTACAGTGGCTGCACATAGCTTCATAGCACTGCATCTTAACCCCTTGCACCACCAAGGAGGCCCCTCAGGAATGTTTTTTTACTAGGAGCTGAGTCAGCTGGTGACAGAGAGCATATAGTAGATTTCCTCCTCCCACCAGGCCCTGGGTGGGGTTTTCTATGGCCTGACTGAGCTGAAAGGCCTTTGTCCTGGGATCAGGATCTCTCACCTTTCCCCTCTTTGCACCTCAGTCTACTCTACTTTCTTCTGTGTTAGAGGGGCTGACCAAGAGTTGTTGTAGCTAAGCAGAGTAGAGGACTCCAAAATGGGGGAGGGTGGGCTTTATTCTTAAGTCTGCAAAGTTAGGCCTGAAGGGTCAAGACGTGAGGCTCAAAGGAAGTTCAGTCCTCGTTCACAAAACTGAGGGGTTGGGGAGCCCTCTTGTGGCCATATGTGGACAGCAGCCCTAGTCTCAGGTCTCTGTGGACATCATGAATCCCTGGTTTGTGATACAATCCTCAGAGCCTGTCTTCACTGCAGGCTTCATGTTAAGTGGTATGTGACTATGGTCAAGAGAAAATCCCAGATCCACCATAATATTACTTAGGACCTGTCCCTAACCAAGTCCTACCTATAGCCTCTACCACCAGCATAATTTGTATTTCCTTCAAGTCATCTTAACAAAAGTTGCTCTCTCAAGCTCATACCTTATGCATTCAATGGCATCAATTTTGCTCTTGTTACTATTGAATAAATAGTTGGTATCTGTCTTCAGCTCAGATGTCTTGGTTCTACTTTGCATTTAAAAGTAAAATTGGGACTTAGAGTTTGCAAGGATTCTCCTCTATTCATTTCAAATTTGACCAGTTTTTCACCTAAAAAGTAACATTTCTGATTTTTAATTTGATTTTAATTTTGGGTTTACATTTTCACTTTTTTATATGTGCACATATTCCACTCACCTTCCACCAATACCCCCATGCCAACAGTCCCTGTACCTCCCTTTCCCAGCCCCTCTTCTTTCCCCTCTTTTCCCACTGGTAAAGATTAAATTTTTTCAGTAGGTCCATGATTCATTTCTGATTTATTTTGCCCATGTATGGTTTTTGGTTATTTATATTCCAAAGATGAGTGAAACCATCCTATATCTATCTTTCTCTTTCGGACTTTTTTCACTTCACACAATCACCTCTATATCCATTCATTTTGCCCCCAAAGCCACTATTTCATCTTTTTCACAGTTGTGTAGTATTCTGCAGTTTCTATCCATTCATCTGTGAAAGGGCACTTAGGTTGGTTCCATGACTTGGCAGTTGCGGACAGTGCTGCTATACTTAAATTTGTTCATATTAGAATTTTCATATTTTAGGAAAGAGGCTTGAGGGGCGTTCATGCTCTAGAAGTTGTCTCCTAGGGTCAGGCGAATGTACCTCCCCACATGCCAAGTGGCAATAAATCACCAGGCAATATGTGCAGGTTCCACACAGGTGTCGCCCTCAGCCAGCAGGCGGCAGTAGAGTTCAGCCTTATTGTCTAGTCAGGACACAAAAGGAAAAGTCAAATACTGAGGAAAAATCTAGTTTATTGACCAGGGATATGAAAAGAAGGGAAAAAAACTGGATTAGAGGAATTCGAGGTATGGGTTGAAGAACTGTTGGTAGATTACTTGTGCTGAGAGATCTCTGTCAGAGCCTTTAAACATCCAACTCTTGTCCACACCCGCGACCACAGAGATAACCTGTTCATTCAGTGAGAACGAATCGTGCCAAACCCTGTCAGGTGGATGATGTTTTACTTAATGTCCAACCACTGAATCTCTCGGATACATCATCTGATCTGCCTGAGACTTAAAATTAGTTCAAACATGGTATCTCCTCTCTGAGCGTTTTTTACGACTTAAGACCGAAGTTAGTTCACGCGAGGTGAAAATTTGATGAACCTGGCTGATATGACCAGCACCCTCTTTTCCCCAACCTCCAATTCAGTGGCATCAGCTATATTTTATTTAGTTAACAACATCATCCAAATAATTTAACATAGATGCTGGATCTTTCAGCTTTTACGCTGGAGGGATCTGTCTTCATCCGGGGAAATCCTGTATCTATGAGTAATTGATGATATAAAGGATTTCTACTTCTTGCATTGTTGAAATATTGCTCATTTTTTTATTGTTGGGAGTTATATTTTTTCCTGTTATAGAATAAACAGAAGTGTAGAATAAATAGTATTTTTGAGGACTATGAATTCCATCTGGAATATGCCAGCTCATACACCTGGCCATTTCTTGACAGATAACACACTGACCTCCAGTCTTAGAAAGAAATACATGCCAAAGGGATATGATGGTCTTAGCTAAAATGAAGGTCCAGGATTAGGTGCAAACATATATTTTATTAAAAAAAAACAACTGAGTACTAATATTTTTAAAATATAGAAATACAGGACCTCCCTGGTGGCGCAAGAGGTTAAGCACCGCACTATGAAGCAATCCGAAGCCTCTACAGCACAAGTTCAATACCCGGCCTGCCAGGGAGCAACCCACACAGCGAGGCAGACTTCTCTTGTCTTCCTCACTGCTCCCCTCAGCAGTGTATGTCAGTCTGCCTGTTCTGCTCCCCACTCTGTCTCTGGTGAATCCTTTCACCCTACACACCTCTGGCCTGTGCCCCAGTTATTGTATGCATAAACAAATAAATCTTTAAAAAAATAAAATAATAAAAAATACAAATACAAATAAAAATACAAACAACATCCATTAGTTTGTATTTCGATGAGCACAGGCCCATTGAAGCTTGTGCTGAACATGGGAGATGGTGTTTCTCAGGACTTTATCAGGGCTGAGATGGACATTGTCAAGAGATTGTCCGCTGGTACCTTCCCCTGAATTTATAGTGCTTCTCTGATGAACA